CGCAAGTGACAAGGTCACGCCCTCCCGTCACCAGCCGAGCGCCCCCAAGGACGGGGCGTGTGATCCCGTCACCTTGCCACATGCTATGGAGATTGTATTCGAAGAACGGACTCGTCACCAGCCGCATTGCTACGGTGCCGAGCTAGCGGGCCACGCGCGGCACGCGGCTGGCGACGAGCGAGACGCTGCCAGACGGCGCGAATCACTGATGAAGGCGGACTGCCGACGCTCATCATGACGAGAAATGAAGCTTTCAGTCAGTGCGGTAGAGCACAGCAGCCCAGGCATTACAAACCTGTGGTTCGGCTTCGCACGTCCAGCCGTCGTTACGGCATGGCAGTGCAAACGTAAGCATATGTCCTACGAGACGTGCTCCGTGCAACTAAAGGCCGTCCACGTGCTCTTGGGAGCGTCCTGCAGTCACGCGCCGTCGCTATCTCTGCACAGATGCGTACCGGAACAAACGGAGGTCTACTACCAGCACTGACAGAAAACTGACCTCCAAACTACCTGAAAGGGAGATTTTGGAACACCATAAAGATAACCATCACGCCGTCCGGCATGAGCCCGGCGTGATGCATCAGACAGGGCCTTGTCCTGACGTCAGGAGCCTTTATCTTGTCAGCACTCGTCCAACGCTGTGAATTGAAGCAACCTTGGATGCGACAGAACACCGAGCGTCCAACGCCGTTATCCGTGTAGCCCACGTAAAGCGAAAGAGGGATACACATACAACAGCAAAACGGGTGTGTAGAAAGCCGCGGGAGCGCATTGTGGCAAAGGAAATCCGCGCCACGCAGTATTAACAGTCACGAGCTTGCGGGACAGGGTACGTGGCGTCATACCTGACACGAAATGCAGCGCGGGATGCGCTCCATGTTCCCATTGTGTGCTGTTTCAGACCATCAGTGGTGCCTCAGACCAACATCGCCCAATGCCGTCATCCGTATATGCCATGTAAAGGCGAACAAAGGATGCGGTGGTCAATTCATGGTCGCAGTTGGGGTCGAGCCGAGAGCCCGACGGCCAAATCTCCTCCTGGTTTTTATTTCAATGGATAAATGGAAACATAAATTCTTACATTAGTGACCAAAAACCATTACCGAATAGTTATTAATTTAACCAGCACGATATGCCCCTAGTCATGCAGGAATGGATCCAGAGCGGAGGAGGGGGGGGGGGGGGGGGAGGGCACGAAAATGAACGCGCCACTCGCTAGGCCGCCCTAGGGCACCGAAGGCACTCTTCTATGGTGGCGCTCCTAAAGGTGCGCCCATTACGGGGTGGAACATGGCAGGGTGTTTCATGGTCGTAAAGACTCAAACGTGCCCCAAAACCTTGGCGGAAGGGGAGGAGGCGCCCTCGAGGACTGACGGGGCACCATGTTGCTCTGTGATATGTCGCGAAGTCCAGAATGAACGCACTGAAATATGACCCGTACGCCTCAAATACTTGGGCTGGAAGCCCCCGAACACCAATTTGCCTCCCCTGCGCCCTGTGCTAAGGACCAAAAGGAACACTCACGCTAATCATGTGGTGCCCAACATCTGGAACTGCCCCTCATGGCTCAATCGGCCACTCTGCAGTTCAAAGGTAGTCCCGAGGGCGGCAAAACCGTTCAGTCCTAATGGACAGGAGGGTGCCTCAAACCCTGTGGGAGGAGCGCCAAGGACCCCAAAGGCCGCCCAGCGGCATCCAAAAGATGTTCCAAGATCAGATCTAAGGTACTTGAGATCAATATTGTCACTAACATTGTTGAGACGTGCCTGAGTGTGTGTGTCTGTGGGGGGGGGGGAGGGGCTCTAAAATGGGTGCCTGTGGGCTGATGGCATGTCCTGGTGAGTTACATGATGAGTTACAGGCCCAAGAAAACGCCTTCAAGAATGGCAGGCGCCTTGAATTATATATGAGCGCTCCTAAGGCCTCAAAAGACGTCGCTCAAGTCTGAAAATGTGCTCCAACAGTTAGGAAAAAACTTCCTAAAAAAATCTGGGGTGTCCCAATACCTTGAGCGTCACCCCCCATTGGTCCACAGGGTGCCCATGACGTATAATACATGTTCCAAGAGTGACCAGAACACTTCAAGAACAGGAGAGCGTCAAAGTCCTGGGAAGGTCACCCATTAGGTTTTAGCTGTATGGGGAGGATAATATCTAGACATCTAGAAATAATATCATAATATCTAGAAATGGGTGTCCCAATGGCGAGAACGTTTAAAAAGATAAATAATAAAGTCTTAAAGGGCAAACACAAGCGCTCAATGAGTGCCCCTGGTACCTGGAATTCTAGCCAGCACCCGTGAATTCTGGAAATATGCCCTAATGGCGAGAGAGCACCAAAAAAGGCATGCGAAAGCTCGAAGGGGCGAATGCAAGGGTTCAGTGGGCGTCCCTGGTGTCTAGGAATATTCTAAGGGCTTACATGGACAGGCAAGCCTCCAAGAAATTCACATCAGATGTGAAAATTACACATCGGGGTTTGGCCCGCCTTAAAAATAGCATAATACAATTCCCACATACACGTCTCGGTACACTAAAAGAGTGTTCCCGATGCCGAAGAATATCACGTGGGCGCCAAAGGTGTCCTAAGAATAAAGGGGGTTTCAAAGACCCTCCGTGAGGACTTTGGCTGACGTTAACATTGCGAAGGGACGCTCATGCTGTTTGCAAAACACACACGAGTTAGCTTCAAAACATTCAAGTTACCGGACACCCATAACAAAGGACACAGAGGTGTGAAAACAAGGCATTGAAGTTTCAAAGCCGCCCATGCGGGATAAGGGAGCCAGTAGCGCCTAGTAAACTGAGGAAATCGAAATAAGTCGGAAAGGCTGAAACTCCCATCTGAGCACTGCGAACCACGGCCACGCAATTCACTCACGTGCGTCACGCTCAGTCCCACGTTCCAGAAGTTTAGTGGTAGAGATTCTACCTGGCAGCGCTTGTGTACCCGAGTCAGGCATGGGGGCGAAGTTAGGCTTCGGGATTTAAAGCCAAACTCGATGCCAAGACAGTGGCTGAAGTCGAACGAAGCCGAAGCCGATGGCTTTTAAGCTTGAATCTCCGAAGCCGAAGCTGACGCCAGTGATATGTTATTTTTCTTAAAAGACAAAGCGGAAACTGAAGCCATTGGCTTTGAAAATTTTCCTGGGATGCTAAAGCAGAAGTCTCAGCGGCTTTGAATCCAGAAGCCCATCAATTTAAAGTCGCGCGTCCAAAACAGTAGCCGACTTGGTGAATAACAATGTTATGCGAATCCAAAACCCACCTTTGTCACCTGCTGAAACTGCATGGAATCAGGGGTGGCAACCGTGTGAAGGCCGTGGCGAACGTGTCGCACACATATTTCACAACGTGGGGGATGCCCCTCACAACCTCAGATGGACCCGGAAGCGTCGAACGCATGCAGAAACGTTTTAGTGAAGAGATCAGAATGACAAATCTCACACAGCACGCTAAATGCCCTTGCCGTGACTTTTGCAACGCACGTAGAAGTAGCTCGCGGAGCTCACGAGTGCAAATTCTCTTATTAGGAAAATCCTGGCACTGCAAACAGCTGAGTGCGCGCTGGTCACGTCTGCTGCTCAGCTCCTTTCCCGCGATTCTCGCAGGGGCGTAACGTTGTTTCTCTTTGCGGGGGGCATGACCCCTAATGTTAAGCCGGCCCCCCACAAATGTTGGACTGCGCCCGGCGTTGTCGAACTCGGTCCCTTAAAATCTCAGCTCTTTAATCCTCGCCCTGATTCACCCTCCACCTAACCCTGAAAACCCTCTGATACACTGAATCACTGACAACGTCACACTCACAAAAGAGTCGCTGCAGCAGATCCACCGAGCCATGAAAGTTGTGTCGTGTATCACTCATACCCTGTCATCACCCAGGGAATTTTTGTAGGACGTACCCCACGTGATTCCCTTTTCGGTAGCAGAGGCCTTAGCTGCCTGCCACTTTCCCGTAACACTTGCGCACGTGCCATATGTAATTTTGCGCGCCATCTGGCCGAAGGCGCTTTTAAATTCACCGTGGCTCTAATGTCTCCTCTTGTACACTCAGGATTTGAGGAACCTCACCAATAAAATATAGGGGCGTCAGATTGGTTACGGGTTGTGCCTCATTCGGCTGATGACGCGTTACACAAGCGGGTCAAAAGGTCACGAAGTAGGTTAGGTTAGGTTAGGTAACGGTTGGGTTAGGTTAGGTAAGGTTGGGTTATGTTAGGTTGGGTGAGGGCCATCCTTGAAATTTGGGTATTCGCCGTTTGCTGGAACGAGATGCTTTCTTTTTCGCCATCAGTGTCTTGCTCCTGCTGCCTCCAGAAGCACTTCAGCGCGCCAACGTTCCGCTCGTTGTTTACAGTTGTTTTATCTTCAGCCAGCCGACAAATGCCATCCACTGTCGTTTACCGAATTCTGTTAGCTACTGATGGATTGTGACTTTCTAGGCAACTGGTTTGAGCTCACTGTTTGAAATATGTTAAAAATGTTAAAAAATATGTTTTACGGTTGTGGGATTGGAGCCGACATCCTGCGCGATCTTTCAGGTGGGCTTCGATGAGCCCTCAGTGAAAAGAAACTTGACTTTTGTAATGCCATCTGATGATCTTTTTTCACTGTATCTTCCCATTTTGTCCTGCATTTATGTTCAGAACCGATCCGTCGCTTAGAAATTTCTCCTGCAGGACCAAAATTGGTTTTCTTCAAGGGACGTATCGGATTTTAAACATAAAACTCTGGTCTGCCTTTGGATAGCCCAATAGATTTCGTTGGCCAGAGCAAATGGTTAGCTTTTGCTTTTATATCAACAAAAACTCAAACGCACGTGCTATTGAGCGAAACGAAAATGCGCGTGCTTGTATGTTATTAGGCTTTGTCGTAAGGGCATCAAATCAGAACATGTTTTTCGCCCTTCAGCCACCGTGTGAACATGCAACATCTATAAACTCATAGGTCACCGTGGCTCATTTCAGGCAGCCAGCTCTACGAGCGTCCCGACATCCACGGTAGTTCTTGTAAATTATATTACCAATGAAATGACAAACAGATTAGTCTAGGTCATGTCATCGGGCACATCGTCAGGCGATACGAAACAATACGAAAAGGAAGCACAAAAGCACGGCTCCGGCCCGGGTCCGAGACCGTCCGTGACCAGCTCCCAGCGCTGTGCATCGGTTTGAAGACTAAGCCGGTGTCGCGAGGACGACGATGAGTTGCTTCAGACGCGGCTGGAAGACGCACTCGTGTTATGGGACCGTGACGCACCCACTGCGCCAGGTGCGCTTCGGTGTTGGGGGGGGGGGGGGGGGGCAGTGTTATGGGATGCCGCGCAGGGCTCCAGGCTCTCCCGTCGTGCGACGAGGCGAGGACACGGACAGCTCGCGCTCAGTTTCGCCCTAATCTCCGGGACGCTCGCAGCACGCGCGAAAGGCGACGGGCGTATACAGCTTCCCAGGCGTTTCGAAACAAGCATTCGCCGTACCTTGACAGGAAGAAGCCAACAGATGGCTTCAGCTGGGGCCTATACCAAAGTTCCTAAACCGCCCGGATGCTCGCGTAAGCGACGCTCAACGCCAAATCAACTAGCATTTTGACTAAAACGCCCTAAGATGACCGTTCCTAAGGCGCTCGTCTAGACATACTCGGCTTACAGCGACCTGGAATCACCAACGAAGCAATGCACTTACACGAAGAAGCTACCTATCCTCTTGAAGTCAGTCGGCACTGGTCCTCGAAAGCTCCGATTAGTGCAGAGATACATCGTGACAAGGAGACTGGAAATGGTTGACACCACATGAGAAACACCGTACATCGAACGCAGCCACGAAGACGCCCCGGTAGCTGGCTCACTACAAGAAGGAGGGGGGCCGGGTGCCCAACGGGCCACCCGGGGCAGACGCCTTGGTGCGGTCCACGTTGACCTGAGCCTGCAGGTGCGGTGGCAGCCGCTCGTACACCTCCTCCGGCACGTCGTCTGAGGAACACGGCAACGCGGTCAGGAGGACGGAAGCTGCCGGGCACGAGCAGATGCACTCCTAATGCAATGGTGGTTCTGGGCGTTACGCCTAACGAAAGTGATGTGTCGGACCAGAAGCCTTTCAGCAGCGAGCTGTTATTGTGTTTCGACAGGCGGTTGTCATGTCCCGCGGAGGACGAAAATGCCTCCAACACGGCGACAGGGATGGAGTGTCTTCTTACCGTTGCACCTGTACACAAGGTCGGACCAAATGATCATCTCTTGCGAGAAGCAGAACACCCCGATTCGGCCGCCCTTCAGCGTGTTGTCGTAGATGTTGCCCGAGTCCGCCACCAGGTTCTCGCCCTGCAACACGCGCAGTTAACGTCGAACGTGGTCACGTGGTCACGGTCACGTGATCACAGCAATACCGGACGCAAGACCAGCGGGAGCCGCAGCGGGATTTCTTTCCAGATCCGGTATGACGATAGAGTCGGTTCATTTGTGCCGAGGAAGAACCAAACAATGCAGCATTTCAACCGACAGGATTGGCCGTAGCGTCTCCCTGGTGCTAACTGGGTTGTGAGCTACGCCAGCCTGGTTCCGGCCCGCGCGCGATTTCTGCGGCGGCGCGACGAAGAGCGGCGCACCTCGTAGATGCGCAGCCGGATGAGCCCGATCTGAGGCCGGTGCGCAGCAGCAGCCAGCGGTAAGCCGTCTTCTCCTTCCAGCCGACGTTTCGCGGGTCCTTCCAAAGCAGCGTCACCTGGACAACACGGCCCGCGTTACGACACAGCGGGGGGCGGGGGGGGGGGGGGTTACAAGCTCGGCCAGGTCGGCAACGTGAACGGTGGTTTTCGCAGACCAATTAATTTGTCAACAGATTGGTGCAAGCATATTGCAGGTGTGATCTGGAATCCCAATACGACATTCTTCAAAGGAGTGTGTGCTTATCATCGTTGCCGCATCTCAACCTGCTGCTGTTTAGTTATCATTTGACATCATGCGAAACAACAAGGCATCGGCCAACGCGCGCATCAACGGAGGCTGTACGGCCCCCTTTGCGAAGGGAACGACATGCTGGATCCGATCAAACAGTGGTGGGAGAGCCACCGCAGAAGTGGTGACGTCACGCTGGACCAGCCACCGCAGAAGTGATGACGTCACGCCGGACCAGCCGCGCGCCAGTGACGCGGCTCCTCATCCTGCCTCCTGCCGGCTGACGGCCGACCCTGCTGCTGCGTCCCGCTGCAGCTCAGCGGGGCCGCTGACCTGGTCGAATGTGTCGCCCGTGTGCCAGAGGGCGTTGCGCATCATCTGGCCGGGCCCGGTGTTGGAGTTGACCACCTTCAGCTGGATGCCGGGCTCGGCTACAGCCCGGAACGGCGTCGCTTGCCATAGTCTGCGTGTTCTTCTTCCACATGACCGTGTAGAACTTCTTGTTGTCTTGATAGCTGGGTGGCACAGGGGATGTGAGAGATGGCGGGCAAATACGGAGGCTTTCAAAAATAATTGAGAGACGCGTTGAGACTTTAAGCGAATTCTTGCTACACAGCGGCCTTAACGCGGTGAGAACTTGACGCTTGACGCTACTTCAAGCGTAGGAAAGTTACGCCATGGCGGTCCTTGGGATAGCGCCCCACAGATCGCGTCGCTGTGCGATCTTTCGACACGACCTTTGAGCTTGACGGATCAAGTGAGACTTGGCCGTAGGTCCTAGTGAATTAAATTTTCGATGGGCATGTTGTATGCAGTGGTTGCTAACAATAAATGCATTACCTGAACACAATCCGACATAGTCGTCATCTATCTCCGTGTCGACGAAGAACGTGCCTTCAAAGTCCACGCCTGAGAACTTGTGGAACCCTGGAAACACAGATAAATCTCACATCATTCAAGCTTCCAACGACAATTGCAAAAGGCAATCACATTGCAACAGCAGCTTTTCCAGCACCTATTCTAAAACGCACAAGACATGACAGCTCGGTGACCCATTTTTTTCAGCTGGAAAGGTGAGCGGCTTACATTCAACCTATTCCATGGAATCCAGAAAGAAAAGAAACAACGTAATCGAAAAGAAATAGAATGAGCCGAAAAGGAGCATTTTGTCAACTGCTGCGTTAGAGGACGAGTTTTGGTTGGAGTGGAGAGAGAGAGAGTACAGCCTCACCAACTGCTGCATTAGAGGACGAGTTTGGGTGGGTGGGAGAGGAGAGTACAGCCTCACCAACTGCTGCGTGAGAGGACAAGTTTTGGGGGAGTGGGAGAGGAGAATGCAGCCTCACCGACTGCTGCGTGAGAGGACGAGTTTTGGGTGGAGTGGGAGAGGAGAGTGCAGCCTCACCGACTGCTGCTGCGTGAGAGGACGAGTTTTGGGTGGAGTGGGAGAGGAGAGTGCAGCCTCACCAACTGCGCTGTTAGAGGACGAGTTTTGGGGGGAGGAGAGGAGAGACAGCCTCACCAACTGCTGCGTGAGAGGACGAGTTTTGGGTGGAGTGGGAGGGAGAGTGCAGCCTCACCGACTGCTGCGTGAGAGGACGAGTTTTGGGTGGAGTGGGAGAGGAGAGTGCAGCCTCACCGACTGCTGCGTTAGAGGACGAGTTTTGGGTGGAGTGGGAGAGGAGAGTGCAGCCTCACCAACTGCCGCGTTAGAGGACGAGTTTTGGGTGGAGTGGGAGAGAGAGAGTGCAGCCTCACCGACGGCCAGGCCAGGGTCGCTGTTCATGGTCTGCACGATCTCGGCCCCTTGGTTGTAGATGACC